TATATGATCTTGGATACACTCTCCATTTAGACATACCTAATTGTTTAGCTTGTGTTCAGCTGCTTTTGAAGATCACTGTACTATCATATAATAACCCATGAAATGCAGCTACACATTCAACATTGAATAATAGTTAAACATCATTAGAGCATGAAATAATACCAGAGTAATATTGAAATTCTGTGTTCTTTCCCATTTCTCCATGCAAAAAAGGAAACGTGTGTTCTACGATACAATTTTAGTCTTCCTACCAAAGATTGGTTGGTGGGTTTGAACCACTAGCCTTCTGGTTAGTAGTCAAATGCCTTAGGCACTACACCACCAGAACTCCCCTTACGTGTTTATAGAGATTGGAGAAAGTTGTGGCAGTAATGAGGAGACATGCAGGCCAATGTTCTACTGAAAAGAACCCAAATATCCATCAACAGTAGAATGGGTAAATAGCAATGAAAATGAATAAATTATTGCTACACACAGCAATCCTACTTCCGTAGTGATACTGCCTCAGAAACCCAAGGAGGGGTTGCTATGAGTCGGGGGTCGACTCGACGGCACATAACAACAACAACAACAACACACAAGGAGCGCTGGTTGTTCAATGGTGAAAGTGCTCAACTGCTAACTAAAAGATTAGTAGTTCAAAAAAACCTGACAATCTGCACTCATTAAGATTGCAGCCTAGGAAATCCTATGGGGCACGGAACTTCAGGAAACTCTGTCATATAAGGTCATTATGAGTCATAATTGACTAAGGGGCATATAACAACACACAGAGTATGGAGCTGTGTGGATGAAATCTCACAAAATAATGTCCAGTGAGAGAAGCTAGATACAAAAGGATACCGTATGATTCAATTTATATTTCATTCAAAATCAAGCAAAACTAAATGTAACTTTAGAAGTCAAGACAGCAGTTACTTTTGGGCAGGAGGAAAGAGGTAATGATTGAAAGGGAACTTAGCGGGAAGGGAAGTGTCTGAAGTAGTGTTCTCTCTAAACTGGAATGGTTGTTACACACGTATTTGGTTTGTGAAAATTAATTGAACTACATAATTATTTTGTGTGCATTTTTCAGTATGTTATACCTTAATGAAAAAACTTTATATTTTATCTCCCGTATCATTACTTTAATCTCATGTTAGCCATATGATACCAAATTATTACTCAGATTTTTGCCATCACATACAACTTAAGCACAATCAATAAGGAAAGATGACCAGATTTAATCAGCACAGTATGGTACACTGGAGGGCTTTCTCCAGATCACTTGTGTTCAAACTGTAGTGTACTTAAGTATTTCCTAGGGAGCTTGTTTAAAATACAGGTCCCTGATCTCTGTCTACAGAAATTTTGATTCATTATGTATTTCTTGGTGATTTGCATGCCACTCACATTTGAAAACTACTGCCCTAGGACTGTCTCTTTACTCAAGAAATTCAATCCTCAAAGAAATAGTCATTACACTTTGTTTTCCCCCCAAGTGTTCTAATCTTATGTTTCTTTGTAGTCAATAAATGCCACCTCCCATAATAGTCCTTGGGAGCTCTGGTAACATAGTGCTTAAGGCACTTGACTGCTAACCAGAAGGCTGGCAGTTGAAACCCACCAGCCACTCCTTGGAAGGAAGATGGAGCAATCTACTTCCATAGTGATACTGCCTCGAAAACCCAAGGAGGGGCTGCTATGAGTCAGGTCCGACTTGACGGCACACAACAACAACAACAAAGTAGTCCTTAGTTAACATCAGGCCCTTTGGGACTTTAAGAAGACCTTAACAGATATTGCCTTGATGACCAACAAAGGCAGTGAATAAATTTTTTTTTTTTTTT